AAATTAAATTAAATTGTAATATATATGTATGCGTTATTAATGTATAATTTTTTTATATTAGCTTTCTGAAATCGTTTTAATAGTGGATGCAGTATCGCAATATATAACTATATATATATATATATATATATATATATATATATATATACATTATTTTTTTTTGGAAGCCAAAATGTCTTACGAATTTCTAAATAAAGATGTTCTATTGCTAAGAGTTGACAGCAATATTCTTCATCTAATACTCCAGACTCAAATATATCATATAGATGACAAAAAATTTATATTCTTGATTTAAAAAATTATTACTAAAGAATTATTGTTATAGTTAATTATAAAAATTTTGTTCAAAAATAATGATCAGGAGATGATTTTAATCACTTAAGATCAAAAATAAAAACGCTCTTAATTCATAAAATGGTTTTTAAAAATTACTGATAAAAATTTTGATCCGATTTGATTTTGATTTTTTTAATTATCGATTTCAAACCCTGTAAATAAATGTAGAGGAAAGAGTATATAAAAACTGTTAAATCAGCTATAAATCAATTGCTAAAGTATCTTGTTCGCTGACAATGTTAGCATAGCTCAGCCATACCTTTAATGAAAAAAAAAAAAAAAAAAAGGAAGAAAGGATGAAGAGAGAAGCAAACAAGGCAATCTGTCTGATATGTCTCTGTTTTCTATTTTTATTTCTACTCTTATCTTTTTCCTCCTAATTGCATTACCTTCCCGGCCCATCCTCCTCTCCGCTCCTAAAATCTCTCTCTTCTGCAATCTCTTTGGTAAATGTTGAACCCTTAACATCCACCTCCCCGCTATCTATTTCATCTCGGAACAACGCTTCTCGAGAAATATTGGTCATCTGTGCAAATAGTAAACAATCAGCTGAAATATTAAATGTGCGGCAAATATTTTTGTTTTGATCCGCTGCCCTTTGAGGAAATAGAAAATAATTATTTAATAATCTACCAAATGTTACCGATCTATTAATTGGATTTTTTTTTTTATTCAAACAATATTTTTTACTTTAAACAAATTATTAAAATCATGTATACTATACTATTCTCATAGACAGAATTTAGGTGAGCTTTAATAATTAAAATATAAAGTAATTACTTGTTTTTTTTAGTAATCCTCAACCAAAAACTACTTAAATTAATCAAGGTTAAATACAAATTCAAGAAATTATTATCTTATTTTAATTTCAAATAGTTGAAAATTCGTTGACAAAAATTATATATATTTCTAATATGCCAGTTAATATAAGACATTTGTATTTATAGCGTTGTGCAATATAGTAGTTACTATTTGGTTTGTAATAGTAACTGTTATAGCAAATTTTATTTCAAGCATTTTAATTTAAATAATTTTATTTTTACTATTAAGCCATTCCATTTTAATTCAACCAGACTATGACTCCCAACATCTCTGATGTTGTTGATACTTGGAATGGTTGTATTCCATGGTGTAAGTAAAAATTTTTTCTCTCTATAATCTATAATTAATTTTACTGACAATAAAACTTTTGGATTATTGAAATTTTGTGGCACAACTGCAGAAAATTAAATGTTTACCGATGAAAGATTAATCATATCACCTTTTGTTTTTACCCGAGTTTTGTTGAGATGTTTTGAAAGTATACATTAATATGCCAGGTATCTAAAAAATCTAATAAATGTTTCTTGAGAGTTAGAAAAAAAAAAAAAATTAAGGTGTAATTTTGAAACAAAATAAAATATACTATACTAAATGGTATTACTCCAAAATACTTTTTTTTACTTCAAGTTTGTTTTTATAATTTTTTTGGGCAGAATTAGAATATTTTAAAATGGTAAGATCACCAATGGAGAGTTTTGAACCGATGAGTATTACTTTAATTTGAAAATTATCTCACTGAAGTTTTATGATTGTTATAGGTATTGTGAGAGAATAAAAAAATAAAAATAAGTTTTTCTTTTGTCTTTACTTAAATAATATTAATTTGTAAAAGATTATATTATATGTTCCCTCACAATACTGCTTAGAATTTATGCAAAATAAGACATGAAAATGTAACCTGAATTTTTAATACATAAATAAAATTCTTAACAGAGTTTCTAATCGAAATATTCAAGTATTCCTTCAGAGCTCGTTCAATATTCATGGCTTAATCAGTCTTTTCTTCTGTTAATTACTTACTTTGCTACGGGGTGGTTGTACTTAGTAAGCTAATTTATTATTGTAACTGTATTAAAGTTTCATTTACATTTAATAACAGTTGTTTATTACATGAATAAATTTCTCTGGATTCTTTCTATATTTTTTTTTTACACGGTAAAACAATGATTAATTTTCGTAATGATTTATTAAAATAATTATATTAATTATTGACTAATATAATATTTGTTTTACTTCAATATAACGAAAAGCTTTTTCGGTCAGATTGTGATCATTGTCGTAAAAACATAAATCTACAGAAAGAATGCTAGTTCGACCCCCGGATTGATAATGCCGGTGACGCGGCTGAGAGAGAAGCGCTGGGATCTCTTAGAGTCTCGCTTTCTCCTTCACACGTGGGGGGAAGGGCTGAACTTGGAGATCTCTTACCTGATTGTAAATATTGTAATTAAGTATGAATGTTTTCCTTGTTAATCTTTTTTTTTTTTTTTCTTTTTTTTTGTTTCCTATATTTATTTCTTTTACTTATAATTTATTTAATTTTGCTACGAATGTCTGTATTTCATTTAATTTTAACTGTGTCACATTGCCTTTGTTATATAGATCTATATATTTTTAATTATTTATTTCATTTTTTTATTATATTGTATATATGTTATGAATGTTCCTCACTCAGCTTTAGTACTCAGTGCCCTTAAGTGTGGCAAAATGTATTATTTCTTAATAAAAAGATTTTGTTTATTTTTTCATACAACTCTGGATTTACTCACATGATTACATTAAAAAAAAAAAATGTTTCCACACCAAAGTTCGTTTCCAATCAGTTAATTGGACGTGTAGTTCTATTCTAGAAACCAGATAAAATGTATTAAGAAGATTTAGAAATTTCTCATATTATTCATCTGATCACAAATTAATTTCTTTATCTCTTAAAACACATAAGTAATTATTGTTGGCAATGTATATATATATATATATATATATATATATATATATATATATATATATATATATACATTGCCAATATATATATATCCATAAGACATCTCAATATGGATGTTACTTGTTTTATGCTACATCTTTATTTATTAGTTTATGGGGTATAGAAGACTAATTGACCTCTGCGAATAATTCGCATATTATATTGGCCAATGAACAAATGGAGGAATTTTCTTTCTTAGTAATAGATCCAAAGTTGTATACAAATTACAATTGGCTGTATCTTTCTTAAAAATTGTCCGATTTCGATTACTTTTTTCATTATGTAGCGAATTCGGAAACTTTTATAATTATTATAGATACAATCTACTATTAAAGTTTCCATTTCTTTATTCATTTTTACTGAACGAAAAAATATTCTTCTAAATGTTGGGCTAATATTTGCATTTGTTGAAAAATTAAAGAAGATATGGGCGTAAGGACAACAAATACCTTCGAGAAATTAAGTATAAAGATGTTCTAAATTTATGGAATAGAATTATGATTTAAGTAATCATTCAATTACCTAATGCGATTCAATTAATGTATTTGGTATTCACTTTTTATTGTTGTATTACTTAATTTATTAATATATGTACTGAAATTTACTGCTGTATTAGTTAACAAATGCAACAGGTAAATTTCAAATTGGTAACTTGGCATGTTCAATATGATGAGAAACTACCCATTGGTATTACTCCATATTATAAAAAAAAAAATGATTTTAAAGAATATATTTCTGTCGTTGTTTGTTTTTATATTTCGTCATTTACAAAAACCTCAATATGTTTGTTAAAAAATAGCGCATTAAGAAATAAGTTAAATTTTATTTAAACTATTTTACTTTTCACTTCATATTCTCAATGAATAAATGATATGTTGTTTTAAATCAGGGAGTATTACTTCTTTCAGTGTTGAGAAAATGTGAGATTATGTTTCACGAATCATAAAGTTAATTGCATCTAAGCAAAAAACGAAAGGAAATAACAGTAAAAAGAAGCAATGTATATGAAAATTAAAGCTATAAGAAAAAAAAAAATTAGGTAGGTATTTTTAATTCATGCTTCCATTGGGGATTCCTTTCGTTGAAGTGCTCTCTCAGTTATTGTATCCTATAAAGTCTGGAGGTTGTTACAACCTGGCTATTAATGGTAACAATGGTTTTTTTTTTTACCCCTACGATATAAAAAAATATTCGTTTTTTGTTTCTCACTTGTTTTCAATTTACTTAATAAGTACGCTGAGGGTGTTAAAAAATATATAGTCTAAGTTAAGCAGACTATACAAACTTCAACAAAAAAAAAAAGTAGTTTTATTTTTTAATGTTTATGTATCGTTAATACATGCGAACAGGTTGCTATTGGTCGGTATCTCTTGAAACAATTTGCGTATTCCTCGCAATAATCGTAATTTGTACTATTTATGTCTAGAATATATTCAAATTTATTCCATTAGTGTGCATATCGCTCACATTTAAAATGTTTTTAACTCGAAAGCAAGTTCTTGGTATTTTCTAATTTTTTTCGGCCCTGGTGGTTATCATTTATTAATGGCGGATATTAATATTATTATTATCTTTATTACTCTCGCTTTTGCTGATTCAATTATTATTATTTATTATTTATCACTTTAAAAAAACGGTATTTTCCTGGAGTGAGGAAGAATTAACTTCACGTAAATTTTTTAGTTCTATTCGATATTTAGGAAGCTCCTTACAATTCTCGCAGTGTTCAACAGCACAGCTTTCTGGGCTTCATTTATCGTAGCTGTTGAGAGGTCCAACTTCTCGGTAGTTTTTGGAATCAGCCCATTGCAAGAGATCACTAAAGCCCTCACTGTCACTTTGTTCAGTTTGTACAGATATTTTAACTTGGCTGCAAGAGTTTGATATTTCAGATTTTTTCCGGCGCAGACTGAGTTAGTGTTCCCACCATTTGGTACAGCGATATTTATTATCTCAGCTGTCTTCTTATTACTTTCGATCAACACGATATCAGTTCTGTTATGGAGTATGGTCTGTTATAAAAGATTGATTCCAATACAATTTCATTCCTTCCTTCTGGATAAGTTCTTAAGGGTTCTACTTAATATAAGGTATTGATTGAATCATTCATCAACTTTATTTTTTGACCAATTGCCTGATGATAAATTTTTGCGACATCGTCATGTCTCTTGAGGTATTCTGTACCAGACAGCGCTCCGCACCCTCCAGTTATGTGCTGAATATACTCGAACGTGCTGGCACAGAGTCTACACTTGTCTGATACTGTCTGTTGCTTCAAGACATGTCGCAAGTAAGACCTCGTTGCTATGACCGGATCTTGGATTGCTATCAGAAAGCCCTCTGTCTCGGGAAACAGATTTCCTTTAACCAATCAAAGCTAGTAGAGGATGTTTTATCTATTTCAGTTTGTTGTTGGAGTTGGTGAAAAAATCTTCCATGCAGGGTTTTTGACTTCCATTCTTCCAGTCGGTCATTCATCATCATCCGTGAAAATTATGGATGCAGCAGGTTCTGGAGTGGCTGTGGAGTTACCACAGTGGTTAATTGTAATGCTGTATGTTCCTGGTCGAGATTGCACATTATCCTATGAAAAGGTACTTCACTTTGTTTGAAGTACTCTCTGAGGGTCATTTCTTGTTTCCTTCACGTCTCTTTAATGTTTATGAGACCTCCCGCCCCTTCCTTTCTTGGTAACTCAAATCTTGCCATATTTTTAATGCAGTCGGGCGATGCATTCTGTATTTAGTCATACTCGTCCGTATAAATCTATCCAATTCCTGGAATAAAGTTGTAGACCATTTTAAAATTCCGAAACTGTAAGATATGGCTGGTATGACCCACGTATACACAGCTAATTATTATTATGTTATTTGTCAACACTTTTACAAAAGGTTTTTTGTTTACTTGAGAGGGGGAGAATCAACTCCAACCATCTCGGGTAAGTTCTATTTTAAATTCTATTGGATGTTGAGAAAGCTTCTTACAATTCTGGCAGTATTCAACAGCACCGCTTTCTGAGCTTCATTCCACAGTAGACACCGGTACCAGGCCATTGCTGGAGGTCACAATGCCCCTAACGGTTACTTTATTAAATTTATACAAACTTTTTAACTCAGCTGCTAGACCTTGATACTTCCGAATTTTTTCTGCACAGACTGAGTTAATGTTTCCATCATTTGGTACAGCGATGTCTATAATCTCAGTTACCTTAATATTAACGTCAATTAACACAATATCAGATCTGTTGTGAGTCACGAGATGGTCTGCTATAAACGATTGATTCCAATATAATTTTGTACTATCTTTCTGGCAGAGATCTCTAGGGCTGTATTTATAGTAGGGCACCGAATCGTTTAGTAATTTACTTTTATAATAATTTACTAGACCAATCGCCTGGTGATAGACTTTGGCATTCTACCCCATCAGTTCTAATGACCATTGCATATTTATTTATAAGAAATTACTGTTTGTCTTTAAGTAAAATAATATATTGATTATTTTTTTGAGATTTGTAAATGTACGAAATTGTGAATGAAAAGATAAAAAATATGTATTTTAAGAAAAAATAATGTTATTAAAATTTTAAATCGGAGTTCCATTCCACAAATCAAATCGTGTATTTCCAGTGCATGTAATTTCTGTTAAAAGACAACTTTTTTTTCCACTAAAGTTTTCTTAATAAACTTAAGAAAATGTTATTTTTTATTTAGTGAGCGGGAAACTTTGAGGTGGAATATATATCTGAGTGGAAGAGGCGGGGTGGGTAAGTTGCCGCCGTTATAAATCATAGATACTTTTTTGTCTTCATAAGTCCTTTTTATATTTGCTTAATGCGAGATAAATGAGTTTACTCTATATCTCCTCCAAAAATATTATAGGTGTGAGCGATAAATTTCTTCTGGTTCAAATTTATAAAATTGTTTTTAATATGTAGTTTACTTTTCAATAGTTTTCTCAGGTTATATTTGTTTATTATGAGGCATCTTTGGTTTCTTACGCATCTAGTTCTATCTTTTTTTTATAATACTTTAAAAAAGTTGATAGAAAGAAAATTATTTTATTAATTACTTAAGACTGAAGATGCTCCACGACAAGACTATACAAAACGTTAATTAGATCAGCCCTAACTTATGGGCTCACACTACTGCAATAACTAACTTCCTCAGAAGAATATTCGAGCGAAATTTACTGTCTCAAAAAGATTTTGATATTTGTGAAAAACTGTTACTTTTTCGGTACAGATGAAGCTTGAGATTGAAACAACTCACGATAAATTCATAAGTTTATATAGATTTATTTTTATTTTACGTTTGGGGGATACTCTGTCCTCCTTTTGAGCAACTCAAATCATATAAATAATACTTTATAGAGCCATATTGAACCACTCACCAACATTTTAAATTTACTTTAACTTAATTTAAATAATTTCATATATAAAAAAATAAATAATATTAAAGCAATGAAACCTACTTGCATAGTTTACTCCAGTGTATGTGTAATTCTTCAAATAAGCCTGGTCATTGATCAAACATTCATTTTTAACACACATATTGTTTTAGCTTCATTTTCATAATATTACTTGTGATGTAGCCGTGTATTCACTAGGTTTTTTTGGTTCTGGATGCCGAATAATTATTTTTAGATGTGCGTATTTTTTGTCCTCTTAATCAGCTGTTTAATATATCCTTCCTCTGCTGTGTTTGTCCGACCTTTCGTTTCCTCCAGTGTGTATTTTATTTGGAAGGCTCTGTGAGATGTCGCTAGCAATTTTTTTTTATTATTATTTCTGCATATACATATGTGATATTTTCTGTCTTGATGATACTTGATTGGCGAAACGTTGACATATTAACTGTTTCCTTGCATGTTAGGAGCTCATGACTTTATAGTTTTGACTTTTTAATTAATTTCCTGTACTTCTAATATTTTTACCCTAATTATAAATTAATCACTTCGTGGTTCGTTATATCTTCAAAAGTATAAGGTCTAACGAATCGATTGCTGGAAGAATTGTGCTTATGATTTTATACCTTTAATTATTTTTTTCGCAGGTATTCTGCCTCTGAATTTCAAGGGGTTCCGAATCCCAGCAGATATTTCCGATTGTGAAAAAAAAACAACTGAGGGTGAGTTAAGGGGCGCGCTAACTTCCCGAAACCCGCCGTTTTTTCGAGATTATCTGACCACTAATATCGAAAGTCAACCGTAGGCTATAAAAAATATATCGATATCACTTCGGGAGGCGGGGCGCCCCCCGTAATATAATGTAAATAAATGCCAGCGCCTTGTATATAGGGGTTAGCTCTGAGATTTTTCTCCTTTTTTTTTTTTTTAATAAAAGCACTGCCCGTTTTATTTTGCCGGCGGGTTAGGTTTAATTAGAATTTGGATGGTAGGGCTTAGAGAAGAGGCTGCACAAGTTGACAGGGAATTTTCAACTCCTCTCCTCTCCTCCCCGGGATTTATCATACCCCCTCTTGTCCTTCCTTCCGTTTTAATATTAGCCCCCTCCCCCCTCCCCATCGAATGGAATTAATAATCCAACTTGCCCCGGATCCTCCCAACTTTTTATTCGACTTTGTTTTTGTCGGTGGCAGCCTGCGTGGGGGCTCTCCCACATCCCTGCTTCCCAAACTTCTTTCGCACTTTCATTAAGTAAGATTTTTTTTTTTTTTTTTTTTTATTTCAATGGAATTTACAACTGTATTACATAGAGAATACAATAAGTAAATGAGAAATTCATTAAGTAAGATAAAATCGTAACTCAAAAAATGAAAATATTTGATTAATAACAAAAATTTTGCTATATATATATATATATATATATAAAGAGATATATTATAATCCAGGATTGTAGTGGCTTAGGGACCCCAACTGGTGCGGTGTGCGGGCGGGGCTGGTAATTTCCATTTGAGCTGGCTGATGCATGGGAGCCTTAAAGCCCTCATTATGTCTGACGGGCTTAATTAACAGTTTGTCAAATATTTGTTTTGTTAGGGGCGGCCCATGCTATGTACAATGTTGCTAAATTCTTAATTAAATCTTAATTTTCATTCATTTTCTAGAGTGTATCTAAGCTCTTTTGTTTATTTATTGATTTTTTGTTAAACTATGATTAGTTTTATCTATTCTTGATGTTTTTTAAAAAATATTATTCTGATGTCTCAGTAGTCTAATTTAATCTTTTAGAAATTTCGTGCTGTATGAAATTTTATCAAAAATTATAATTTTGGAAAATACAGCTTGTTCTATTTTTAGACAATCCCTGTTAACAAAGGTTCTATTTACACAGTGTTTATATAGTTATACGATATTTCTCCCTTAACAGATTCATTATTTTCAATATTGGATACTTCCACTTATCAACTAAAATGAATTTAATAAAAGAAAGAAAATTGTTTTATGTATAGTAGAGCCATTTAATGTATTCAATAACGAAAATATGATTTCTGTATTTTTTGTTCTTATCTTTTTTAATAGCGCAGGTAACTTCTGAAGTTTCGCTTTTACCTCCATAATTGGGCGGACAAGTATGTTCAGAGTTCCGATGACCAATTGTAAATAGTGTAAATACGTATGCCTGCGTCTAAGATGTTTATTTATATTACTTTTTTAAAGAACATTTTAATTCTATTTTATTTTATTTTATTATTACTATTATTCAAATTGTCTTCCTTCATTATGAAATTTTATTTTGTTCTTACTTCGCTTCATACTATTTCGAAATTACCTTATTTATTTTTTTATTTTGTAAATATGGGGTGAATGTGCTCTCTGAACTCTATTATGAATGTCCTTTATTGAGACAGATTGTAATATTAATCAATAAACAAGTGTTCCATTGAAACAAAAAAAAACTTTTTTAATATTGTCTATCTATAAATGTTACATTTTATTACATAACTAAGTTACATTCAGGTTAGCGTTATGAGCAATAGATATTTAAATGGGGCCAGTCAGATAAAATAAGAAATATAACAATTAATTTTATCTATTGATAATTTATTGTTCTTCATTAGATATTTTTATGAAGTTTGCGTTCAAATATGTCTTCTTCAAATCAATGCGTGGATAGACATTGGCGATCTGACGATCAAGTTAAAAGTTGTCTTTTCATTGTACAAATCATTAATGATTTGGGGAAAATGTGTTTTAGCGGTTTTTGATCTCCGCCACAGGCTATAATAATTTAAACAGTCGTCTAGGATAATTGAATACTAAATAATATAAACTATTTGAGAGACTATCATTTCATAGCATGATTTTTCCGACACTTGATTATTATTTTCAATGATAGATATTTTAAAGAAACAAATATTCGAAGTTTTATAACTGGCCAGCTTACTGTTTGGACTTTGCAGTGTTTTCATAGTACACAGAATCCTGTTTGTTTGATATAAATAAGTGACAAGAGCAGGATGTAGCATGCTGCCTGCAGCTGCCGCAGGCTGCTGATGTCAATTGTTCTGCCAGCAGATATATTTTATCCTGGCTTGTGATTGCAATGCCCTGAATAGGGAATAAAAAGGACAGATAACCCCATGTGATTTATCGCGGCCTTTTATTGAAGAGACTGGTAACATGCTGTTGGGGGCCGGGCCCCGGCTATCTGCTCCACTGTCAGCGCAATATGATAAGCCGCTGACATTAGCAGGCAGCGCGGGCCTAATGGGGATACGTCCGCGGCCGCTGATAACCTTGGCCCCCCTGTTTTTTATTTAAGGGCGGCTTGTTTATTTCGAGCAGGGCCCTCTCTATAGAGGGAGGGCGCCCCACAGCCGCTTCCAATTACTGGCTTTGGAATAACGCCTTTTCATATGAGCACTTTGAGGACCGGAGGATGGAAAGGACTTGTGAAGAAGGAGCTACTTTATGGAGAAGAATTGGGATAATTCGGCGGCGGAGGAAGCGGCCCATAACGAGTGTCTATTCTGCCCTAAGGGGGGGGGGGAGAGGTCCCTTTGACAAAACAAATCCCTTTGAATTTTTAACCAGGCCCCGAGGCACCGCTACCGGTCTACTTAGCTCTCCCTAAATCTTTTATGCCTCTCCT